AAACCATATTGAAGTATGAAATCAAAGATTTAGCACATTCATAGAGTGGTAACCATTACCTCTGTTCATTTCCAAAATGTATCATCACCAAAGAGACTGAAATCTTCTATATTTTATATAAAAAGATCTGATGAGTGGTGGTGGTGCACACCTTTAATCTCAGCACTTGGGGGCAGAGACAGGTGAATCTGTGAGTTTGAGGCCAGCCTGGTCTAAGAGTGAGTTCCAGGACAGCCAGGGCTACACAGAGAAACCCTGTCTCGAAAAGCAAAACAAAATGGAAGAAAAGAGAGAGAGGAAGGAAGGGAGGGAGGGAGGGAGAGAGAGAGAGAGAGAGAGAGAGAGAGAGAGAGAGAGAGAAACATTTCCCCCCTCAAAGCTATCAACAGCACACAGCTCTTCAGTACAGGGCAGAGCCTGGAGATCATCTGAGCTACCTGCATCAGAGTTTTGGCTGACTTGACCTGTGCAGGCCTAAGCAGGTGACTCCAGCAGCTGTGAGGGCCTGAGTGTGACTTCCTTGCCAGTCCCCAGTGCAGCCTTTCCCAGCATTCCTCCTAACCTCTGAGGAGCCTGCTCCCTCTGCAAAGCTCCCCAGGCTTGCTGGGGCTTACCGTGGTTTAGCCAGGCAGAATTTTGAAACAATTTGTTCCAGAATTGAATTTGTCAGACTTTTCTGGCTCTTGAGTCAGTTAGAGAGGCCAACCTTATATCTGTGTTACAGAATAATTCCCTCATCAAAGTTTTCACATGTTTCTATCAGCAGGACAGAGATGTGGAACAGCCCTCTTTGCTCCCAGGGTCACTGCAGGACCACGTAAGACATGAAGGCAAAGAACTTTCTAGAATAATATGCAGTGTATGTACAGGCAGGGTATGCTGTCATGTGTGTGTGTGTGTGTGCGTGCATGTGTGCGTGTGTATGTGTGTGTGTGTGTGAGTGTGTGTGTATGTGTGTGTTGCGGGCATTGAGCCAGGGCTTGCACACACTAGGCAAACACTCCATCTCTGAGCTACCCCCACAGTCCCGTTATCACCAAGTGGCTGAGTTATGTATGCTGCTTCCATTTTGCAGAGCCAAGATTGAGGGCCAGCATTCTCCTCTGAACTGACTGTAGATGCCTTAGCTGGTAGCAGTGTGGGAAATGTCACAGAATTAGTCATCTTGAGCCAAGGGCAGGGAGTGTTTCTAGTTGATCAGAAACATTGCCTTAAACCAAAAACTGTTCTGGTCACTCTTCCTTCAAATGCAGCACCCTGCCCCCCCTTTTTTCTTTCTTTCTTTTTTTTTTCCTACCAGGAAAAGAAACCGGTTGGATGAGTTTTGTGTTTTCCTGCTGGGATTGTAATTTAAGCCACATTGATGGTCAATTGTGATGTTTTCCCTATATTTTTAACCTCCAATTTGTTTAATGGAAAACTTGCACTTGAAGTGATTAAGACACACATAATCATAGAATGAAGAGCTACGTAAAAATTGATAGGCATTATTATGATCACAGTTCCTCTTTTGGTTCATTCCTTGGGTCTTAATATTGGTCAGAGCTGCATCTCAATGAATTTCGAAGTGTGTGTAGTTACTAGCTAGCTCTGCGCTCCTGGGCAAATTGATTCTCTGATTTGTGCCTCTGTTTCCCCAACTTGAAAACAAGAATGTTTATATTGGGCTGGAGACATGGCTCAGAGGTTAAGGGCACTGGCTGTTCTTCCAGAGATCCTGAGTTCAACTGCCAGCAACCATCTATAATGAGATCTGGTGCCTTCTTCTGTCATGCAGACATACCTGCAGACAGAGCACTGTATACCTAATGAAATAAATAGATAAAGTTTAAAAAGATCAATTAAAAAATGTTTGTATCACCAGACTTAATGAGTTGTAATAAGGACCCATCTCTTTAAAATCTATATGGAGTGCTTGGGCTCTCCCCTGTACAGAGGGAGGTCTTGATTAAAAAAGCAAATTTTTAGGGGTTGGAGAGATGGCTCAGTGATTAAGAACACTGGCTGCTCTTCCAGAGGACCTGGGTTCAAATCCTACCACCCTCATGGCAACTCACAACTGTCTGGGACTCTGACACTCCACACAGATGTACATGTAGGTGAAACACCAGTGCACATAAAATAAGAATAAATAAGTCATTTTTTAAAAAGTAACTCTGGGGGCTGGAGTGATGACGCAGTGATTCAGAGTATTGGTTGCTCTTGTAGAAAACCCAGCTTTGGCTCCTGGTACCCACATGGTGGCTCACAGTTCTGGTTTCAGGGAACTGACACGCTCTTTTGGCCTCCTTGGTCAACAGGCATGTACATGGCACACCGACATACATGCAGGCAACACCACACACACACACACACACACACACACACACACCCCTCAGCATAATCCAGGCATATCTAAAATACTTCAGGAAATGATCCTGAGGGAAATAGGATATTCCCAGAGGTATTCTAATATTTGGTTTTTTTGGGGGTGGGGGAGGCACAGATAAAACCACGAGACACTGCCCTTTTTCAGTTACAGATTTATCTGGGGGAGAATCTGGTTTCTGTTACGTCCCATGAAGAGGAAACATTGGGGGGGGGGAGCTATTGGTTCCATTCACCAAAGAACAAGGGCCGTTTTTCTTCTTTTTGGGGGGGGGTGTTGTAGAAGGGCAGTTGAGTGACCCCAGACTCCAGTGAGCTCTGGGGAAGGTTAGAAGGGACAAGATGAGGCCATAGTGTCTGGGGCCCTGCCTAGGTCACTCACCTCTTCCCAGGGACAGAAGGTTTGGGACAAGCATGGTGACGGCTGTGTGGCTGTGCCTTATAAGCCTTTCCTCCCTTCACTCTGGGAAGCCCTGAGCTCTGGGTCTCTGTGGGACTGTCATTTGATAGACGAGGATGCTGATGTTCCAGGAGGCATGGAGGCCACTTCCGGCTTCCACACGGACTGACGACTGTATATCACCATCCGTCTTACAGAAACCTTGCTGTTCAACAGGAATTATCTGACACATTTTGCTTCATGGTCATGTGGCTTCTTGGGACATTCCCACGGCTCGGCGCGCTGTGCGAGTCTCCGATATGCATGTGTGGTTTTTAAAGTCTCCTCATGGTTAGAACCTGCCATTTACTGGACTCCTGCCCCCAGCAGGCTCAGAGAGCAGTTGGAGTCACCTGCTCCGGCCTTACAGGCTGCAGGCTTACAGAAGAGGCAGGAAGGAACCTGGTTAGTCATTCATTCACATTCCAGGGCAGAGGACAGTAACGCCAGTCTTCTTTGAGGATCTAGGCTTGAGGCAGAGAGGCTAATCTGAGTGTATCTTCCGCTAATGACACTACGAGGGCCCTAGCATGTCCCTGGGAAGGGTGAGGCAGGAGGATGTGGGCTGTGGCATCTGCTTATGAACTCTGTGACCTCTTGTCTCTGGGTCCAAGAGCTATAATAAGCCTGCTGATTCACCAGGTGGACTTCTGGGACTTCTGCTCAGGGAGATCCTGTGCATTCCCCTCTGTAGCTCTTGGTGCTCGCTCGCTGCTCACACAGGAGGAAGACCCAGCTCTCCGGGCCCATTCGAGCTGCAGTCTGCCTTGGGAATCCCTTGCGGGCTGGTGTGGCTAACCTGGCCATACCTAAGCTCAAGCCAAATCACACACCGGATCACCCCAGAAAGTCAAGTGGAAGATGATACCTATTTGAGACAGCGAGAGAAGTTTCCTTCAGGGAACCCTTGGGGACAAGGCAATCTTTATGACACAGTCTTACTGTGAAATTTCAGTGGTCAGCGATCCTATAGTTTGACACGTCACTGGGCTTTTTTTTTTTTTTTTTTTTTTTTTTTTTCGAGTCAGGGTTTCTCTGTGGTTTTGGAGCCTGTCCTGGAACTAGCTCTTGTAGACCAGGCTGGTCTCGAACTCACAGAGATCCGCCTGCCTCTGCCTCCCGAGTGCTGGGATTAAAGGCGTGCGCCACCACCGCCCGGCTTTTTGTGATTTTTTTTTTTTTCCGAGTCAGGGTTTCTCTGTGGTTTTGGATCACTGGGCTTTTTAAAGTGTGCTCACGGCAGGGGATTTGGTCTTTCTAATGAACTGCCAAAGACTCCTACCGAGTGTTTAGTGCTGGGGTGGAACTCTGGTGACCCTGGGTAAGTAATTTTCCACCATCTAGGTCTGCACTCTTTCACCTGCGAGAGAACACTTGCTTTGGTACTTATATGGACTGTACCCTCTAGGATGCTGGGGTAACCATAAGGCCACTACTTAAGGGGGCCTTACTATGTGTCCAGGTACTGGGCTAAGGTAAGTTTCTGTTCTTACCCAATTCCACCAGAGCCCCTTGCGTTCCCAGTACCCCGCGCTCTGCAGCGTTGCTGTTTCCCCTTAGCCCTTGTCATTTTCTACCGCATTCTATTATTAATTCTGGTTTGGAGCCTCTTGCCTTGTGTAACTCTAGTGTGTAACTCTAGTGGGCCCTCGAGTAGGATTTTGGCATCTATCTGTTGCAAGTGTACAAAAAAATGTCTCCAAAGAAAGCTCATTTTATTGGTCAAGCAACCTCTCTGAGCCTGTTTGTAGTCTTGTCTCCCCCCCCCCCCCACTTCGTAATGCTGAAACCTCTGACACTGTCCTTGTGATCAAGTAATCCTTCCAAAATATTAGTGCCCTCCCCCTGCATGTATCAGGCCCCCTGCTAGAGTCTCAGGCAGAGTGGCAACTTGTCATATAGCTGATGGTTTGAGGACTTGGATTGATTTTCATCACGCAAAGAAAAGAATCTTCCAGTGTTTGTTAGGAAAATCTCTAGCCCAACTACTACTAGCTGGAGTTTGCAGGAGCCTCCCAGGCCTTCCCAACCTGGTTTTCTCCCTTCCTGCCGCCTTCCTTTTGTGAAACGTTTCTTCCCTTTTTTTTTTTTTTTTTTTTTTTTTTTTTTTTTTTTTGCTTGCAGCCAGTTCAGCTCTCCTGTAGGCTACAATGTGTCAGTTGTTATAAAATCCGGGAGGCGGAGTCTAGTGACGAGGGCGGTGGAGGAGAGCTCCACCAGCCCTGCGGGGTGAGCAGTCCATCCCTGGGTCCGGCGGAGCTAACACACTACAGCCGGAAAACTTCCATCTCCATCTCCTGGCTTTGATCCTCACCGGACAGCAGACCCGAGGCGCCGACCGACCGGAGGGAGGATGAGAGATGACCGGTCCTTTGGCAACCTGACCATCTCCTTAGCAGAGCCTTCCAAAGCGAACCGGAGGCTGGCCACACGACCCAGGAGGCGCCGCGCCTCTTGTGGATGTGTGTGTATGAGTGAGCAAGCGGGTGTATGTGGTGTGTGTGTGTGAGTGAGGGTGTGTGAGTGAGGGTGTGTGTGCGTGTGTGTGTATGTGTGCGCTTGTGGTGTGGATGGGTGTGTGCACAGCACAATTGCGTGGAAGCGTGTCCGGGTGAGTGTGCACTCGTGAGTGTGTTTGTGTGTGTGTGTGCGCGCGCGTGCTCTTGGCTGCTATTATTATTATTATTTTGGAAGAAAAATCCTGGAAATCTGGGACAGGTTATGGTACTCCCAGGGTGATTTCTCCTTTTGCAAGAGGAGCTGACCAGAGAAAGCCACCAGAGCCATTTCCCTGCCAGCAGAGAGCATTTTCCTCCCTGAAGAAGGATTTCTACCCAGCTCTGCAGCCAAGTGAAAGAGATTAGCCTTGAAACCTGTGAAATCGACTATCGCTGTGTGATTACCCAGGCTTGGGAGAGGACTTGGAAAGAAAAGGAGAAATAAATCAAACAGCCTGTCAGGTTTTTTTTTTTTCTTTTGCCACGTCGGAAGATGTCATCTCAAACTAAGTTCAAGAAAGACAAAGAGATCATTGCCGAATATGAAGCCCAAATAAAAGGTGAGCTGCGGGGCCGAGGGACTTTGCCCTCCCTCCCTTCCCAGTCTCTCCCTCCTCCGTCTCCTCTGCCTCCTGGCCTTGGTGAGAAGTTGCTCTGCTGCAATAATCTTATTGTAAGGGGGAAGAGCGGCGGCTGCACAAGTCCAGACTGGCTCCCACTGCAGATAGCGCCTGGGCTGGGAGCGTGAATTACAGAAAGGGCAGAAATCTCTGCATTGCAGGTGTGTGGGGAAGATCCTACGCCTGACTTTAGGAGTGTCACTGGCACTCCATCAGCTTGGCAGTGATCTGTCACTCTAAGGCCATTTTGACAGTCCAGGCCTCCTCCCTGTCACTACCACTGTGAAAGCCCTTTGCTATTTATGTATATATTTTCTGATCTGCTCTCCCTCCCCCCCTTTTTTTTGGGCTTTTGTGGGTGGTTGTTTCTGCCTCTGCTGCCTTCTCTGGGCTGAAATTCAAATGCACGCATATCGGCTGTGGGGGGGGGGGGGGCACCGCATCCTTAAGCAGCCCTTCTTTGTCAGCGGCGTGTCTTGCCTGGTCTGAGTTGCCATGGATTAACTGTTATGGGACATATTGATCCAGACTAATGCAGGCATTTAGGCATAAAGCGAGAGTTCTGTGCAGAAGATAGATTGTCTGCTGCTGTACAGCCCGGCCCTTCTGTACGCGGTTGTTTCGGGTCATCAGCTTTGGTCCAAAGCCAACACCTCAGTGTACAGTTTGGACTGGTAGGTGCTGCCTGGCTCCCATGGTTCTGGAGAAAGTCTGCCTGCTTGGGAGAGCGAGATGACCTTTGGGTGCTGATTCCGGCTTTGGTGGCACAGAACCCACACTTCTTGCAGAAGCCGCTCCCTAAATCCATGCTAGCTGAGCAAGAGAAGGGCTGCGGTTGTACAGCTCAATGCAGGCAGGCAGCATCCGCCCTCGGGCCAGATGGTGGGCTTTCTAAGCACAGCTCCAGCGGGGAGAGCTGAAGGCTCCTTGCCCTGCTTCCTCTTTGCTGAGCCTGTGCCCCGAGAGAAGTCCCGGCTGTGGCTCTCAGCACCCATTTTCGTTCTGGTCCCTGGTTCTTCTTGCTGCGACACAGGGTGTGTTGTGGTTTCACATGGAGTGGGCAAAATACATCTCCAGTGGGTGTGGAGGCCTGGCTTGGAGGCTGTGTAGATGCTGCTTTGAGGTTCTTGTGACCTGAGGATGCCACGCCTGTTACTAGTGCTGCCTGAGGGCTCCACGCCCTAGGAAGTCAGGGGCCTCAGGCTGCCTGTCCCCCGCTGCTTTCACCCTTCAGATATTGGGGAGGGCTTTGAAAAGGGAGCAGGCATGGAGTGGGGGTGGGGTGGGGGCTTGATGTTTTCCTTGTCTTTTAGCTTTGGGTCAGACAAGCATGCTGAAGGCCCCTGGGTGGGTCCCAGGGCGAAAGGAAGAGAAATCTTTCCTCCTCTCTGACCTCCTCCTTAGTTTTTAGCTCACTGTCAGAAGCAGTCAGTGTATCAGCCTTGCTGACAATTTCAAAACAAGTCCTTTAGCTGCCAGAGATCGGAATTCACACAACTGCTCGGAACAAAAGCTGATTTTCAATTTCGTCTATCTACTTTTTAAGGAGTTTATATATTTTTGGAGAAACTCTTGACTGTTTTTTTTTTAATTAAGCATTTAAAAATTTAAAAATTAAACATTTAAAATTAAAACAGAAAAACGTGATGACAGAGACGAGAAGGGGATGTTTGGACCAATTTGTCTTAGTAGGAAATCTGCTTATCTCCCCTTGAAAGGGTTGCTGCCACCGTGCCAGTCGGCCTTTCCTGAGGTCCCACAGAGCATCAATTGCTCCAGATAATTCACTTCTTTTCACCTTTCACCTTTATTTTAATGGCTAACCAGCAAATACCAGGCAATGATAATGAATTTCTTCAGGAAATTGGTCCGAAAGATCTGGTCTCTTTGGTTTAGTTAAAAAAAAAAAAAAATTTTTTTTTCTCTAGCTGGCATCCTGAAGATGTGGTTTGTAGGACTGCTACACCTGAAGCCCTTTGAAATCTTTCTGACGACGTTCGATGTGTTGGCCTGGCGTGTAGCTCGGTGGTAGAGCACTTGCCTAGCGTGTTCTGGGCCTTGGGTTCCATCCACAGCCGTGTTTGTTAAGCACTGTCGTAGGATTGCGCCCAGGGATCTCCAGCTTCTGGGGCTCAGTTACAGACATCACTGCTCTTGGCCTGCGTGGTGTGCAGAAGGGTTAGCGTGAATCCAGTTCAGAGATGGGAGCTGAGCCTGGCAGCTCTCGTGACTTACCCAAGGTCGCAAGGCCGTTATCTTCCCAGGCTTGGTGTCCCTGGTACATTGTTTGGCTGACACAGCCCCTTGAAGGATTGATGTCAGTAGCAGATGGGAGTCTTGTGCTGGAACTGGCAGCCTCTTGATGGCATCCCATTGTTTCCCCTCTGATTTTCTTCCCCCTGCTCTGTGGCTTGTCTCTGAGGAATGTTAGACCGATGAGCAGAAATAATGCTGGATGCCAGTTACTTTCTTCCTGGCATTTGGCCAGGTTGGTACAACCAGCCTGCTCCATTAAACAAGTCTCCTAGACTGTAGGTTTCGTGAGGGGAACTTAACGGTTTTTCAAAAACAATATTGAGTTCTCTGTTGGCTTTCTCCTATTTGTCTCTGAGCAAGGCCTTTGCTGACTTGACAAAGGATGGACACTTTCATACAGCATTTCCTTTGTCAACATTTGAGATTCAAGCCTTCTCTTGTCTCCCCAGATACCTGAGTCAATCGCTCTGACTGCATACTTGTGCTTGTGTATTCCAGGGATGGAAAACTCAGCATCCTCCAGGCCCACATACTTTATATTTGGACAGCTGTGGCTCATGGATTTTTTTTTTCTTCGATGGCATCACCCACCCATTGGTTCTATAATTTCTTCTTCATGAGGACTTCTTAGGATAGGATAGACACTTTTCTGTAACTGCCCATACAGCTGGGTGTTGGGAGCCTCTGGTTGCGCCGCTGACTGTAGCTAACCTTATTTGCTTTAGTAACAAGGCCCACTACCATTTCCTGTCTTCTTTGCTTCACTTGTGTATTTGGGTGTTGTGGGGAATTTCTCATGTACCCCAGGACAGCCTTGCACTTTGTAGCCAAGGATGAGTTTGAACTCCTGATACTCCTGCCTCTTAAGTACTGGGTTTACAGGAATGCATCAGCATGCTGGCTTTATAGAAGCTATGCTGGGGATTGAACCCAGGGCTTCCTGCGTGCTATGCGAAGTTGCCAACAGAGCCGCCTACCAGTCCTTCACTTTCCTTCCATCCACTGCTTCATGGGCTGCAAATCCCAATGCCTTGGGTGCCTGGAGGGTAGAATGAAGATGATTTGAGACAGTGGCACACCTTACGGACTGCAGGAGAAAGGGTGGCGACAGTTACGGTAGACCCTAGGGCACACACCCTGTCCCAATGCACAGCCATACTTGAGTGCAACCGTTTGCTGCCACTTTTAAGCCCACCCACATCTTTCAGTTTTCTGTCGATGTCAGTAACTTGCAGGAAAGCTTCACGTTTTCAAAGAGGTTTTGCCGAGAAGATGCCCCAAAGATTTAACTATTAATACTTGGTCAATATGGTAGAAGAAAGACAACAACCCCCCCCCCTTCTGCTGGCTGTAATACTCTACCAGTATATCCTAGGTGTCCTTTAGCACTTTGCCCTTCACTGGTTACACCATGCACGTCTGCTCCTCTAGTCTAGGGGGTCTTGTTAGGAACGCGGTGAATCTGCGCTGACTTGTTCTTGGTTCTCCCACGCTGGCTCCAAACAGACATCACTTCCTATCGTCGGTGCTTCTCGCTGTCCCTTATAATCTGCTTGACAATCTGCTTGTGAACCTTGCCTGAGAGTGAAATTACATTCTCGATCTGGAAACTGGCAGGCTCTCACTCTGTTCCCTTTCTGACAATCAGAACATTTGCCTGTCTCCAGCCTCTTGGCATCTCTCCTGTCCTCCGCAGTTCCCTTGGAGATCACTGATAGCATTTGGGGATCTTATCTGCTGCATCTTCCATACCCTGAGCGCTAATTGATCTCACTGCCAGACATAAAGGTCTGTTCCACATTCGCTCATAGCATTCCTGTTTCCATTTCAGCCCAGTAGACAGTGAAACAGGAGCTCTCTGACTGACTCTAGGGATATTCATATTCGTTTTAGGATAACTTTTTAATAGTAAAAGTGAAAAAAATTGGGTAAGAAAAGCTAGCATAGAGGATAAGCATGCAGGAGTAGGTATTACTCATTTGTTCATGTATTCATTCAACAAACATTGACTGTCGACTGTGTCCTTAAGTCTTGTGTGGAATTTCATGAATATATATATATATATATATATATATATATATATTAAATAGTGTACTATATACATACGTATATAGTACACTATTTAATTTATCTTCTAAGACTTCTTTGGGAAATGATAGTAAAAAAAAAAAGAGAGAGAAGAAAATTGAAAAGGCCCACGATACCATAGTACAACCTTACAATTGAGTGTCAGTATGAGCTTGGTCTTGTAGAGAGCTTCCTACATGATCCTTAGGAGGGCTGGAGCTTCCTTAGGATGCAGGTGCAGCACACTGGATGGGGGAACTGTGGGGAACGGTGGGAAGAGTGGTCAAAAGGGCAGTTCTAGCGGGGCAAGCATTGTGTGCTCCAGCTTGTCATTGCCTGGCTGGAATGTGAGCCCACGGTGGGCAGTTCTCCCACTGTTAGGAGGAAAGCTGAACTGAAACAAAATCTCTTAGTTGCTTAAATGGTGGCCCAACTTTTAAAAATTCTACCCTGTCTAACCAAACAGTGGAATAAGGCCAAGGCAGCCTTTAAGTTGAAGTCCATAAAAACGTGGAGTGGAGCAGCAGCCAACATCTTCCTTCATCTTTGTGGTTTCCTCTAAGATAAGCCCGCGATCTTACAACACTCTAGAAGTCTCCTCCTCCCCTCAGGTCCTC